ACAGACCTGGAACGTGGCACCATCTTTGACGATGCCCTTCTCGCAAAGCATTGTGAGAGAATGTTGAAACGCTTCAAATGTAACCCATCCTTGAGCGAGGCAGACTTCACTTACGTGCATACGTGAGTCCACTATCAAAACTCATGTTGGCTTGTTTATTTTGGATTCATTCTTTCCAAACATAAATGTAAACATAATTTTGTTATCCTGCTCCAGTTCTTCTTCCCTGTGCATATTAACAGGCATTATTTCTACTTCTCTATTGATATAGCGAGAGGTAAGTATGTGTGCTTAGAAAGCACGTCATGCAAAATAGTTTCCAAACCAAATGCCTACCACTGAGCCAGAGGGTTGTCACCTACGAGACCACCTTCATCAAGTCACTTAATGGAAAGGCGAGTTTTGAAAGCTTTGAATTGGAAGTTCTTGATTGCCCACAACAGCAAGATAACCACAACTGCGGTGTGTTCTGCTTCAACTTCATGGAACAATATGAGGGACACTTCACAGACAAGCAAAAAGAATTTTGGAAAGATCACGACGAATGAAACTTTCACTGAGCCCGCATTGCAGCGAGGATCTTGATGCATGACCACAACACCATGTTGTCAGCCCTTTATTCATAGGCAGAGAGAAAGAAAGGAAGCTATAACCTCAAAACCAAGGTTGTAATTAAAAATAGCACTACATCACCATAGTATGATTCGTCTAGGTTGACATTGCCCCTTTGGGGCCATTTTGATTGGAGTAGGTTGACATTGCCCCTTCGGGCCATTTTGGTGCTTTCTGATAGATTCTACAAGGGAATGCCATGCAATGTTGCATTCTAGCACTTGCAAGTTTCACTATGATCTTGAACAGGATTCCTTTTGACATTTAGACTGTGCATTCTGACAATGTCAACCTCCTCATGTACTAAGTGGGACAGACAATACTCTAAGAGTAATACTTTTGAAGCACATTCAATAATTATCTGACTAATACTATTTCTGGAAACTTACAATAACAATTCAGGAAATGGACAATGTAAATACTTACTAAAAATATGTTTTCCTAACACATAAATATACACTTGTGAAAATGGATAATGTAGCAATATCGACCACGGAAATACGCATTCTGCTCGCTCAGAATATGACCTAAGCAATTGGTATTTGTAACTAGTACACGCTACAGCCGGCGTGAAACTAAGGTAAACCATTTTAATGAAACACTTTATCAGGGACATACTCAAAACTAAACTACTAACTAATGTACATAACTTCTCCGCAATGCATTTGCATTTTCCCTTCTCTATCACCTCCTCAGTTATTACAACATATACATAAATAAATACATCACTTTTCCCTTACAAGGAGAAGGTTCATTATAACATTATGTAGTTTATACTATAAATATGGCCCAGACATAATAATAACTAGATTTTAAAAACACAACAATCTCTAATCGTCCAACTCATTATCTTATATATGCTCCAGTTTTCTCGTCCACAGAAACTCACTTCGAACATTTCACTCTTCTTCGCAATTCAAACCTGACTTGGGGACCCTATCGTTCTGCAACTAAGTAATGGAGAAATAGTTACAATACAAAATATTGAATTGTGTTTAATTTCCTCTACTATTGTAAACCTACATTAATAACTAAAGAAGTAACATAGCGATAGATACAACATCCAACTGGATAAACCAACTGCAAAACTATTGTAGCTTTCCAAATCAACCCACCTTGGCCAACAAATAAATACATGAACAAAACATCCTACAACAATATCAAACAACAACATGATATCTACTCACTCCTAAATAACAAGCGGTTTACAAATAGAAGCATATGCATCAACATTAAAGACAATGAATACGATTATAAACTCCTCTGCTGAAAATTCATACAGAACAACTGGACAAGACATGTTAACACTAAAAATTCACGATTGGACAAATCTATAGTTCAATACGATAACTCTCTAATTCAGATCCCTCAATGGACATGCCAATTGTTCCCTAAAAAAAATAACATAAAACATCACTTATAAGTTAGCTTGCACACGATCAGGAACACGAGGATGTTATAGCTACTACATCATTCCTACCATAACTTAAGAGGATATTTGAAATAAGCATGAAAATCTATGCACGACAATCAATTTTCGATTCTATGGTCGATTAAGTTATAATTTAACATATTGCATCAATCGGATTGGTGAAACTCACCTGTGGGAAGGGGGTGTTGTTAGGTCTTTGACAAATTCAGCCTCCAAGGGCCACAACTAGGGGCGGAAATCGGTACGGTATTGGTATCCCAATGCCAAATACTGAAATCTCAAATACCGAATTACACCCTAAAATCAATCCCAATTCCAATCCCTAAATATTTCGGTATCCAAATCGGTACTTCGGTAATTGGTATTATCGAATACGAAATTAATTATCTTTGCAATTAATAATTAAATATATAAATTAGATTTTATTGTTTAATTTAGGGCAAAGAGACTAAGCAAATAGTCTTGAGTTTGCCTAGAGCTAGGATATGGATAAGGAGAATGGAGGAGAGGTGACATCTCAAATTCTTGTCATTAGTAATCTTTAATTTGACGAATTAGAGGTTGAGAGACGACTAATACTAGTGTTTGATTTTTGGTGTTATGAAAATAACAAGAGATTAGGTGAGCGACTAGAGTGACTTCAATTGGAAAGCCAAATTTGAGTTGGATGGGGACTTCTAAGTTGTGAAATAGTGATGGAATGATCTATCTATAATTAAATGACACTCTTGGTGATTGAGGGTCATGTAGTAGTGAATGAGAGAGTCTAGTTGAGAGGATAAAATACATCCTATCTTGTATTTCGGTATATACCGATCTCAATCCCAATCCCAATCCCGTAATTCGTAATACCGAATAACAATTGAAATTCAATACCAATCCCAATTTCAAAAAATAATACGTGTATTCGGTAATACCAAATATAGACAAATTTGATACGGTATTCAGTATATCCCAAATACCGATACCAAACTTCTAGCCCTAGACGTAGCGAAGCCCAGTCTCAGAGAATGATACAATAATATATTCTGCATTAACTGAAATCATATTCGACAAAGAATAAAAGAATATTTAGGGTTTCACCCATCTGAAATTTATATTTTACTGAGAAGAAAATCAAAACACACTTAGCGATTTAGAACGGAGGTGGGAAATATTTTTTCAATTTTTTCAACAAACAAAGTCGATCGACGAAGGAAGATCTCTATGAGATGGAGAGAGACAGGGTAGAGAGAGAAGGAGACGGATTTGCTTGTCAATTTAGTGGGATGGAGTGAATCAAAGAAAGCTCAAACTTATTTAGCTTTCTCTCGATAATTTGAATTTAGTATGAAATTTTGAATTTTGGATCTAGTTCAAAATACAAGAATTTGGGATTTTATATAAAATTTGGAAATCTCAATTTCAGAATGAAATCTTTGGAGCCGATAGGCTTCAAGCCGTCTCAATGAATGTCGTTAGGTGTGGAAATTGGAGTGGGTGTGGTTACCAGCCCCACATTTTGTTGGTACCCACACTCACAAATTTACAATTATGCTACTCATAACTCGCACCGCAATGGTTAGTGGGTAATCATTACCCACTTCGGGTTGGGTGTGGTTACCCGTAAAAATTCATATTTGCAAGCATGAAGTTGATGCTGCCACTAACGTATTTGTTCTTCGTAGCTAGACTATAGTAATAAACAATTGTGTTGTTCGTGTAAATACAATTTTGTATATTGATCTTACTCAAAATGGAGATTTTTTTCTTTTCAAGTTTGGTATTCAACTTTTGTGTTAGGGAGCTGTGATTTCATATTTCACCAATTAGGGGTTGAATATGACAATTAAATATGATTTTGTATTTTCTTTCACACAAAAGTAAAAAACATGTAGATAAAAATTACAAAAGGTGTCTACTTTTAATGAATCTAATATTCTCCAATCTCTCGAATATAGTGTTTTATAAACTAAAAAAATTTCACATATTTTGATGGCTACTTTAATTTTTAGACTAACACTTTTTACATACTATTATATTATAAAGTTAATTCAGTACATAAATATAATTAATGTGGTCATTGTAAATTTTGTGGGTTAGCTTCCGTGGATTGGCTGGCTCATTTTCCCATGTCCAACTTGATCCAAGATCCAAACCCGAATCGCATTCGTCCCCATTTAGGCGAGGGCAAGGTTGTCAAACCGGTTTAAGTCATTGAGCCGGTCAAGCAAGAGGTTTGAGGTTTTAATGGTCTGATCAGGGTCTGGCCGTTTTGAGCTATTTTAGATATTTTCTAAATATATATACAAATAAGGTAGAAATTAAAGATTTAATGACCGAAATAAAATTTATCTTACATATATCTATTAAAAACTTATTTTTTACAAAATAAATCTACCTAACTTCCATGATCCACCCGCCATCTCACTTCCTTCGTTCCTCTTCCTCTCTCTTCTGCTCCCTCTTTAGAGGTCAGACCGAGGAGCTTTCCGGGTCCAACCGTGGGTCTAATAGGTAGGGCTGGCTATTTGGACCGGGACCGGAAGAAAAATCGGAAACCGGACAGGATAACCCGGACCGGGACCGAATAGTAAACAATCCAATCCAATCTTTGGGCTTAGATTTGAGGTAAAAAACCGGATAAAGACCGGATAAGAGAGCTTAACACCCAAAACTTAAGGGTAATTTGCATAAACGGTCACAAACCTTTGCACTTAGTACAAAACTTAACCAACTCCTCACCCTTTTAGGCCTTAGGCCACTCAAATTCCCACAATCTCAATATAAAATCAAGATCGAATTGGGACCGGACCGGATCAAGACCGGACTGTATCCAATCCAATCTTTGGTCCTTATATTTTCAAAAAAAACAGACTGGACCGGATCAATTTGGACCAATTTAACCGGACCGGACCGTATAGCCACCCCTACTAATAGGGGGTTTAACAACTTTGGGCGAGGGAAACACACGAAGAAATGACAAACGCGATGAGATCATCAAGACCAGTAGTAGCACTGGGTCAGAGTCTATCCAATCTAATCCCCAGGCCACTATTGGCCCATCCCGTCTCTGTCTTAACTCGCCCCCAATCTCAGCCATTACTCTCTCGCCCACAAACCTTCAGCTCAACAGCACCAGAGGGGAGAGACTTCTGAATCTTCCGACTCCTCCTGCAGCACGCTTCCGCCATGGCGTTCCCAGTCGTTGACGCCGATTACCTCAAGGAGATCGACAAGGCCCGCCGCGATCTCCGCGCTCTCATCGCCTACAAGAACTGCGCCCCGATAATGCTCCGTCTGGCGTGAGTATCTCTCGCTTCCCTCCCCCCGTGCTCGATTTTGGCTCGGTTGCTAATTCTTATCGCCGGATGTGATACAGGTGGCACGACGCCGGGACGTACGATAAGAGCACCAAGACCGGCGGACCGAATGGCTCCATAAGGAACGATGAGGAGTTGGCTCACGGTGCCAATAGCGGCCTGAAAATCGCCCTTAGTTTCTGTGGTCAGGTTTCTTTTCGTCGTTTTCTTGGTTTTTCGTTTCCAGTGGCTCTGTGGATTGTTGAATTGAATGTTTCCTCTATTGCTCTGTTAGAGGAAGTGAAGGCCAAGCGTCCGAAGATTACTTACGCCGACCTGTTTCAGGTGAGTAATTGATATGAATTTGCTTCTGATGGCCATCGCGGTTGCGATTCTACATTTTGAAATAAATAGTGCACTATAAACGAGTGTTAATCCTAGAGGTTTAGAAACTGGTGACTATACATGCGTGCCTAGATTATATTTGTGGTTTCTGGATGCCCATTGTATGCTCATCTTGTACTGATTTCTCACTAGAACTGTGTGCTTTGTACACTTCTTGTTCAATTGTTGATTCATGACCTCATCGTCGGAGTGTTGTTGATGCAGGTTGCACTGATGATGAGAACCTTATATATGATCAGGTTTAGAATTGGTGATTGTTGCCTACTTATGGTACTTGTACTTGTGCATGCAGCTTGCTGGTGTTGTTGCAGTTGAGGTAACTGGAGGTCCAACCATTGACTTTGTCCCCGGTAGGAAGGTGTGTGAATGTGCAACTACAAGTTAGTTGACTTGGGTATTTAGTTGATTACATCTTTCAAAAGTTACTGACTGGGATTTTCTCTCTATCAGGATTCAAAAGTTTCCCCCAAGGAAGGCCGACTTCCGGATGCCAAACAAGGTATCAACGCTTTCAAAGTTAGTTAGCTTTTGCATTCCGGATTTCATCTGCTGGTTTTTCGAATTTTAAGAGTTGGATAGTATTATTGGAATTGAGAACATCTTCAGACGCTGTCAACTGTAAAATTCTCTCTGTGAAATAGGGAGGGATTTGTAGTCAGATAACATGAATCAGGGTTCATCCAGTAAATGGTATTGTTTAGCACAGGTGCCACTGAGATAAGCACTCCACTGAGATGAGTACTTAACTTCTTTTTGAGGAGAAATGTCGACCTAACACATGATTTTTCTTAATATTCTCCTAAACTGGTTGTTATTAATAGTCGATGATTGAAGGGCTTTTCTTAACCAGATCTTTGTTAAAAAACTCATCTTACTGAACATAGACCATTGCACCAGTTATTTTTGGAATTCCTAGTAGATAGCTAACCTCTAAAATCAGCATTTGGTAGATTCCTGTACTGGTATTTTACGAGTCAGTGAAAGCTTCGTTGATTTGAATCAGCCTCCCTTTGTTTGATTTTATTGATCCTTCACTTCCCCGACGTGTCTAGATGAAGCATATAGGTTTCAATTTAATGCTTCAAGACTATCTTACAGCATCTAGGTCATATAAGCTCATCCATTAGAATTCTTGCACTATCTTGAGGACTAAGTTGAGTATCAGTCATGAAATAGAGCTCTTTGGGTCCTCTTCGCGATGTTTCTTCTTGTTATATGATTTCCTAGTTGTCATAGTGATGTTCTTCATTACTGGTAATTTATTCTCTTAACCACGTGGAACTCTTGTTTTGGATAACTGGACATCCTTCCTTCTTTGCTTGCTCAGGGCATTCTTCAGAGGATACAATCATATGTGTCTTCAACCATTTTCCCATTTGTTCTCTTGACATGATCAAATCACAATGTGATTCATGTTTTAGTTGTAGTTTGCATGTTTGCAGTAATACTTGGGAATAATCCTACATATTCTGGTGCAACTTTGTGCTAGGCTCGCCGCATTTGAAGGATGTATTCTACAGGATGGGTCTCTCTGACAAGGAAATTGTGGCACTATCAGGTGGCCATACTCTGGTAATTTCCTGTAACATTCACTTTTCTCTAGTAGTAGCTGCCGTAGATGAGCACACACTGATTTTTCAGTTCAAAATCTTTGCCTTGCAGGGAAGGGCACATCCAGAGAGGTCAGGCTTCGATGGCCCTTGGACCAAGGAGCCATTGAAGTTTGATAACTCATACTTCGTGTAAGGCTCTGAACTGACAGTAGACTAGCATTGCTCTACACCTAGGATCTTACTTGGGCCTTTCCTGTCATAATCATCCTCTTTACGGCGGACTATTTCAGGGAGCTGCTGAAAGGTGAGACTGAAGGACTATTGAAACTTCCAACTGACAATGCCTTGTTGGATGATCCTGCTTTCCGTCCCTTTGTTGAGCTCTATGCAAAGGTACCTCTCTTTCTGCTAGACTTTACACTGACACAAGGGAAATACCTATAAATTACCAGAAAAATAGTCCCCATTTTCTAGAGAAAATTTTCACCTATATTTGAAATAACTAACATTGCGACTGAAATAGCAGACATATCGAACGCTCAGTCTATCATCAACTTTTTCCTTCAATTCGCTAAAAAGATCCCACTAATCTAGTTCATTTTATCCAAATTCAATCTAATGACCCCTAAGCGTAATCATCATTTACTTTATTTGACCCGTGAAATACCTTGATCTATTAGTTTGACATGCTGTTCATATAGTGCTAGACTCAGTTTTTTGAACTCTCCCTCACTGGTTTGATATCTTAACAACACTAGATGCTTCGATGATATAAGGGTTTTCTAATTGCTATTATCATTTTCCAGGACGAGGATGCTTTCTTCAAGGACTATGCAGCGGCACACAAGAGACTCTCCGAACTAGGCTTCACCCCAGCCTCCTCGGCTTCCAAGGCAACGGCCAAAGACGGCACCGTTCTGGCCCAAAGCGCTGTCGGAGTAGTTGTTGCTGCTGCAGTGGTGATCTTGAGCTACCTGTACGAAGTCCGCAAGAGAGCCTGATAATAAAATATAAGTAGACCGACCGACCGACCAGCTAGAACAGGCCTTTTCCATTACACTAATAATTCCTAGCTACACGTTTCTTTACCTGATATGTGACTCAAATAAACTCCGTATTCTCTCCGGTAGCTTCGTATTCAAGCCCCAAGTTGAATTGAATCACATGCAATGCACTTTGGGCTTTCAACTGTCTTTGTATAAATATCCAGAAAGAACAACTGGCAAGCAGAATCACAACTCGGAGCGTGTATCTGTCAATGCCGCTACCTAATTCCCATGTGGTGAAAACGCAACTCCCTCTGTGTAGGCTGTAGATTGCAGGACCGCGCATTACCTACCTTGTTTAGCATGGTGGCAATAAGTTGCAGTCGGATGGTGCCGTTTGTGATCTCATCATGCTTGCATTTATATTTGTAAAAATGCTTCTGAGATTCTCAGCAAAGAAAATAACAAAAGTGTATTCGAGTGCAGCTAACCATTGTGCAGTCTATAATCTCAACTAGTGGATGTGTACATTAATATAGTTGACAAAATTTTGTTTAATACAATGTAGTACTGGTACGTGTGATTAATGCATTTAAAACTCATGTTCTCGTAGAGTCTAATCATTTCTTTCTTTATTTGTTTGATGTTTCACATACTAAAAGCGTAAGAAATACGTGTAAAATGTTTAATATGCGTATTCAAAGAGATTGAAACGATAGTTCATCATTTTTTTTTATATTTATACTCATCGCATTTAAATTAGAAAAATTCAAATATATTATTGTTTGTGCCACAATACCCACCGGAACACCTGAAACTTCTCTTCGCCTGGCGCCTGCCTACACACACTAGCAAGGAGGGGACGCCTGGGCCCGTTAATCCTCCGACGCCCAAGTTAGTTTCTTAGAGAGGGAAATGTCCTAAAGGAAGAGTTTTAGTGAGAGAGTCCAACCTGTGTAAATGCTACCAACTGCCCCTATTTATACTCACCGAACTCGAGGTTGATCTTCTCCACGTCACTGTCCCTATTTAATGCTTTGTACCCTCTTTGTCAGATATCTCAACTGCCTTGTCAGGCTTCTGACGCGTGACAGGCGCCCGCAGGTGATGGACCACCTGACAGCCTGGTCTCCCTTGGGTTTTAGTGTTTTGTCTTCATGCACCCTTCCTCTTACTTGGGCCTAGAGGTATTTCACGGAACCATTTTCGGGCCTTGCCCCCCAATTCTGTTGCTTGGGGGCCTAGACCACTAATTGATGGGTAGTACCCCAACAATTATAATTGATACCGAAACAATACATAATGTTATATTACAATGATGATAAGCGGACAATGTTTGTAGGCGCCCGCTTTTTTTGGCGCCTTCTATTCTATTTTTTTTATTCTCTTCGTGGTTTGTGGGCGCCTTTACCGACCATCCTTCGCTGGTAGGCGCCTCGCCTTTGTTGATGCTCTCTGTTTCGTGTGCTTCCTCTTTGTGATTCGTGGGCGCCTCTTCGTGGAGGTCTCCGTGAGGGGTGTCCCTAGCCCTTATGCCCCCCTCACGGGGGGATTTTGACATGGGCCCCACATTTTGCTTGCCAGGAAAATTCGAAATTTCGAATTTCGAATTTAGAAAATTCGAAATTGGAATATTGGAAATTTCAAAAAGGAAAAGGTGGGGGGAAGCTCAAAAGTCCGCCCGTGATATTGACACGTGGCGCGTCGGCGCGAGCCTTGGCTAGGATTCTCGCCTCCTTTAAATACCCCCTCCCCCCTCAGTTCTTGTCACTTTCCACAACTCGATCTCTCTCTAAGATTTCGCTCTGACTTCTCTCTAAATTATGCTCTGACCTCTCTCATGTCACTCTTTGCCATCGTCACCCTTGCTTTTGTCAGCCGAGAATGTCGTCCCCACAACAAGACAAGACTTCCGGCCAAGGCGCCTCAGGCGTTGGTGCGACTGGTGCAGGCGCTTCGGGCGCGGGCGCCTCCGGCGCAGGTGGTGAGGCAAGGCGTCCGACCCAAAGTGGTAAGGAATCTTCTCTCGTTGGTTGTTTTTGTTGAATTCACTCTAGTTATCTAGGGTAGGGCGTCACTTACTCCGCGTCTACGTTGCGCCTGGGTCGTTTGTTGGTTTAGAGGGGGCGCCTGCTTCTACGTCCGCTAGTCCATCAAGCGCCTCAACTTCCGGTTTCTTGCCTGCGGATGGGTCCTACAAGATCACAACATGAGAGAAGTCCTTTCCTCCTGATCATCTACCAGTGGAGACGGCTCATTTGCCCTTCGACGTGGCCGGGCCAAAGCATGAGTCGAGCGTCACGTTGGCGCGCGTCCACGAGCTGGTTACCAGTCTTCAACTGCCGCGCGACTGGTGGTACGCGCCTCCATCCGCTATTTCGCGAGTAGGCGTCTGTGGACCGAAGTGGATCGGGGTGTATCAGGAGTACTTCCGGTTCGGGCTGCGTTTTCCCCTTGACCACATCATGGAAGGGATTCTAACGACTTGCGGCTGCCCGTTGGGGCGCTTGTCCCCCTCGGTCATCACAATCGTTATCTTATTCAAGTTGAGGTGCCGGGAGTACAACATGGAGCCCACTTTCAACTTGTTTAGATACTTTTTTAAGATGGCGCCTCTTGACAACTGCTTATCTCTTCAAAAACGGAAGAAGCGCCCCTATCACTTCGTGGAACGGTGTCCCAAGCTGAACCGCAGTTGGTTTAACGGCTTCTTCATGAAGGCGTATCGGGACTCCTTCTTCGAGAGTGGAGGCGCCTTCCTAAGGCAGTGGGAGCTGGGACATATCGAGGACTTTAACTCACCGATGGTGTTGTCTCAGGCAGAGAAGGATGGCGCCCGTTTGATTTGCACGGAGCGCGTGGATTTGCGTATAGCCAAAAACCGCCCGCCGATTCTTGAGGCGTATTATAACGATTGTTTGTAGGCGCCTAGGTGTTCTGTCTTTAGCCTTCGTTATGATTTGATCTAATTATTTTGACAATGTGCAGGGTCGGATTACTCCAGTATTGCCAAGATGATGAAGAGTCGGCTTGCTGCTATGACGGGAGGGGCGCCCCCTTCGGTTCGGCAAGAGGCGCCCGAACCAGCCGCCACCCCATCACAGGCGCCTCAACAGGGCCCGAAGAAGAAGAAGAGGGCGGTGAAGGGGGGCACATTTCACACGAAGACCGCCAGCGTGGCGTCTTCCGCCCCGGAGGAAGGTGAGGGGGCGCCTAATTCTGAACCCGCGGAGCAAGAAGGCAACTCCGGGGAAGAGGAGGCGGAGCCTTTGATTCGTCGGGGGAAAAGGGCCGGCTCCTCCTTGGCCCCTGCCAGCAAAAGGGCAGACAAGGGGAAGGGTAAAGAAGGCGCCGCTGCTGTGGACGATGGGGAGGGCGCCCAATACCACCTCAATGAAGAGGGGCGCTATGTGGGCCCCGACGGGCGCCCTCCCATGTTCCAACTGCGCCGCTCAGATGTTGGGCTCATCAACCTGTCCTGCTCCCCGCTGGCGGCAGTAGACCAAGGTTGCGCCATGGGATTGGCGATTTCGGCTGCCAAGTCGTGGCAAGTCCCGTCGGAGGTGAATGGGGACCACCTCTTCGCCGAACTGGCCCAAGTGGGCGCCAAGGTATATACTCTTGTACTTGTTTTTCTTGTGGTTGTGGAGTTGACTTGTTTGTTACTTGTACAAAGTGTTAATCTTTCTTCTTTGGTGTGTGCAGATCCTCTTTTTTGCTGAAAGAGGCGCCCGGCGCCTCAATGAATCAACACGAGAGGCGCTCGAAGCCTCTACCTCTGCTGCCTCCATGAAGCACGACTTAGAAAACGCGACCGCGCGTCGCGAGCAACTGGCGAAAGAGTGCGAGGAGGCACAGATGAACACGGCCATGGAGGTGTCGCGACTTCAGGGCGCTCTTGACGATGAGCGCAAGAAGTTGGCGGATCTTCAGGCGGAGAAGGAGGCGTTGGGGCAGGAGGCAGGCACCCAAGCCAGCGAGATATATATCCTCAAGGAGGAGAAGAAGAGGTGGCAAGACGCCTGCAAGGAGACTAAGAATTCCTTGAAAGAGGCGCGGAAAGAAATTTCTGACCTGCGCCGCTCTTTGGATACCTTCAAGGAGTCCGAGGCTGGAAAGGGGATGTGCGCCAATGCCATCTTGACCGGCCTCGAAATTTTGAAGTATAAGCTGGAGAAGGATCACCCCGACCATACTTGGGACCTTACTGAGATGGCCGAGTATGTGATCGGGGGGCTGGAGACTCCCCGCGGAACAGGAGGGGCGCCCGAGCCTTTTGCTGCCGATGCGCCTCCTAGTGGGTCTGCTCCTGCGTCGCCTTCTCCGAAGGCGCCTAGTGCTGGAGATGCCAATTCTGGAGCACAGTAAAGAATGGGCGCCGCTTAAGTAGAATCATGTTGTATTTTTTTTTATTTTATATAAAAACGTTTCCTTTGGTGATTGCATCGTATCTTGGGGCCTTTGATCTTTTACTTAACTTAGATCGTTCTTTTAGGGCGCAAAAAATGAGGGCGCATTGTGGCTATTGGGCGCAAGGTTGGGCGCGTTATTGCTCTGACTCAGGGCGCAATATTGGGGCGCTTTGCTTTTTGAAGGACGCAAAACGGGGCGCTTTACTGACTTCTCTTAACTCCTTACACTTAAACCCACCATCAGTCTCAAAGTTGGGCGTTTTTACTATCACGAAATTACTGGGCGCGAAATTGGGCGCTTTTTCTTAATACGAAATGGCGTAAGTAAACATGAAGTCACTATTGGGGCGCTAGAACACTGGGCGCTTTGGACACGATACGACGCTAATTCGACGAGCGCTTTTAGTCACAACACAAACACTCTTACACACTTGTTTTCGACATAGACAAACACTTACAACTACGACCGCCCGTTTCCCTTTCTGACTCTTGTCAAGTGGAGGCGCCTTCCCCTGGTGCGGCGCCTGCACGGTAAACTCGCAGGTTTTGTGCGTTCCAAGTCCTTTTCACCACTCTGCTGTCAGTATGATCTAGTTTGAACGTGCTGGGTCCCACCACCTCTCATACTCGGTATGGGCCTTTCCACTTTGGTGCTAACTTTCCTTCGCGGGCATCCGGACGAAAATCACGCTTGAGAACCAGGGCGCCCTCAATGATCCCGTAGGCACGCATCTTCTTGTTGTAGTATCGGACCACTTGACACTTCATTTTTTCCAAGCGGATTGCTGCCACCTCCCTCACTTCGTCTGCCATGTCCAATTCGTTGGTCCGTGCCTCATCATTGCCGTTTGGATCGTACCGGACAACGCGGTAACTTGGGATGCTGACCTCCACAGGAATGACTGCCTCGCTTCCGTAAGTCAAGGAAAAGGGTGTTTCTCCGGTGGCGGTTTTGTAAGTTGTGCGATGCGCCCACAACACATTTGGCAGTTCCTCTACCCATTTGCCCTTGGCGCCCGCCAACCGGGTGTGTAACCCGTGAAGGATGCTTTTGTTGGCTGCCTCCGCTTGACCGTTTGCTTGTGGGTAGGCCACCGAAGAAAACCTCAACACGACCTCATTGTCATCACAGAACTCCACAAACTTCTTGCAATCGAACTGCTTTCCATGGTCCATGACAATGGACTCGGGCAAGCCGAAC